CTCTAGCAAGGTCACACCATTTGCCAGTTCTCCTTCTCCCTCACTCTTGTCTTGCCCAAAATCTACTGAGAAATAGAATGCTCAGTGTTACGATTTACTCTTGCATAAACTACTTGCCAGTTAGTGCTTCTAACAAATACACTTTTACTTATCATGTTACCCCGTTGTCACTACTGGGCCTTAGTCAGTTTACATGCAGAGGCAGTAACTCCTGAGAGCAGGGCCTACATGATCTTTTCGTGCAAAGTGTGTTTTCCAAATCAGTATGATCCTTCTCAGTTTGAACATGAGTAACTAAAGTTGCCATGTGCTGTCATGCCAATTATAACTTCACAACTTCAGCAAGTAAGAGGTCAGGAAGTCAGCAGGAGGTGCTAGATGCTGTCTATGCTTTCTTCTACAATAAAAGGCCCTACTAGAAAAGAAATAAAGCCCTCAGACAAGCAAAATAGACACACACAGAGGAAACCCTGACCAATGGTCAGACCTCATGAACCACAAAAGGTATGTGTTGAGAAAAGGGCTCAATCAGTGAGCTCTGAGGAAGGTCTGTGAAGTCAGCATCAAAATGGTTTCTCGTTCATCTCCTTCCTTCCCTCCATCCCATCACCACCACCGCCACCTCCTGGGTGCTTTCTCTTGCGCAAGTGGAGCACCATTAACAAAAGAAGGAAGGAAGGAAAAACCTACAGGGCTGCTTGCTGCAAGGTGCCCCTGTCAGCCAAGCCCACTGTGCTTCTCTGGCTGCAGAAGAAACACTTTATTTATTTATTTATTTATTTATTTATCGATTTATATGCTGCCTTTTTCCTACAAAGGGCTCAAGGCAGCTTACATCATTCTCCTCCTCCATCTTATCTCCACAACAACAACCCTGTGAGGTAGGTTGGGCTGAGAGTCTGCGACTGGCCCAAAGTCACCCAGTTGGCTCCATGGCTGAGCGGGGACTAGAACCCAGGTGGTCTGAGTCCCAGTCCCGTGCTCTTAACCACTACACCACACTGGCTCTCCATGCAGACTGGACTCACCTGGCCCTAGACAATTCAACACTCTTGGGCCATCTAAGCAGGCCTGTTGCTGGGTGGAGACCTGCCAGTGGTGCCCCCAAAGGGCTTCTCTGCAGTTGTCTCCCCCGCACTCCTCCCCCCCCCCCGGATGCCATGTGGGTGAGGTTGCCTCTTATTGTTCCCCTACTCACTCCTGAATCTGGAACCACTAAGTGTGCCTATGTCAGTATAAGCCTGGAAACATGCCTGGAAGGAGAATGGGGGCCAAGTGGGGAGGCTGCAGGGGACCCAATCTGTGTAGTCATGTGTAGACAGTGATATTCATTTATTCATTCATTCCTTTACTGCCCAATACCAGAGGCTGTCTGAAGGAAGAGGTTTCAGACTTAGTTGCATTAGGCCAAGCATAAACATGGTGCCCGTTGGGACAAGTGTGCCCCAGGCACCTTTCTTGGGGTCTGCTGAAATACTCTACCCTTTTGACTTTTTTTTACTAGAATTCATTTGTTTACCAGGACTGGGAAGCACCAAAGCAAAGTGACCACCTCCTGAAGCTACAATCTTCATTTCCCAAGGAAGGTGTCTGGACTACAGGTGAGTAATGATTTGGCTGGCAGAGGGTGCAGGGAGAAAAGGAGTCTGCCTTCTGTGAAACAGGTTTCTGTTGGTGCTGAAAACAGTGGACCTGTTTAGTTTCTGGGGCTCGACCCCACCTGTGCCTTGTACTCAGTCTTTTGGGCAGGTTGCTACTTCCTTGTTACTGGCCACGCTTTCCATGGTAGCTTACCTGTGGTGGCGCTCAGGATAATCTCTCAAATTGCCAGATGTGCTTACAGGTCAGAAAAGGTAACAGACTCCTGGATTGGGCTGTTATACAGGTTTCTGGTTACACTTACAGGTGGTGGGACAAGAGAAGACAAAATGCCCATTTTTGAAAGTGCATCCAGACCTGTCATCAGCTTTAGGGAAAATGCATAGGTTCTTTACTAGGTAGAGAACATAAGTTAAGAAAAACATGGCAGTTTTTATACCAGCAAATTTATATGTTTCATATGCTTCTAGGGACAGATCCAGATAATTTCTAGGTTTTATATTTTCAAAAATGGGGAACACACAATCACTCATTCATTCAGCTCTGTAGCATCTCTAGGGGCTGGAAGAGCAGGGATCCCTAAAACTGGATCCAAGGAAATAACTCTATTTGCAATATTTCATTTTTTACAAGATGTATGTTTTGTATAATGCAGATTGGCAAAGACAAAGAAAATTAAAGCATTTTTTCAGGCAAATATGCAATAGAGAAAGCACTGAGTTGATTCAATAAATGCAAACAAGGCATGAATTCTTTCAAATATTGTTGGTTGTGTAAATATGTATATGTATGTAACTGTGACACACCTTCCCACCCACTCCCCATGCACACAAACTTTCAGGTTCCAATTACCCTATATTCATTCAGTCATTTCACATGTTAACTTTTCAGCATTGTTCCATTTCCAGACCCAGGGCCTTTGTCCTTTTTCAGAGTGTTGCTGTTACTAGTCTTGCCTATCTTTAAAGAGATGTGGAATTTCAGCCCCAGGTCCCAGTCTGGTCCTCTGGGCTGCCCCAGACAGCCACGCCCCCTCTCCTGCTCCGTTTGTCTGCCCACCTATTGTCTGCCTGTTTCCTGCCTTCTGTATAGCCCCCATACGGAATGATCAAAATGTTTCCTCTAAGGCCCAGATGCCAACAGCATTTAGGGCATCTTGCACCTCCCCATTGCCCTTCTTTCCCAAAACGGAATTCAGTCTTCACGCTGAAAGAGGTTCAAGCAACTCTGCTTTAGGATTAGGCAACTTTATTATATCTCTGTAATAACTAAATGGAAGTAGAGTAAGGGAGGGAAATGGGCATGCTCCTGTACTTCCCTCTCAACCCTGCTGGTGAACTTCTGAAAGCATCTGTCGATCTGACTGGCGGAAACAGAGAGCTGGATTAGGTGGAACTTCGTCCAATCCAACAGGGCACTCCTTGTGTTATTTCTGTTCTGCTTTAATTGACCTATCCGCGTTCATGTTTTGGCAATACTTGTAATGTTGTTGAGAACTCTTGCTGGCGCAGCAGACCCTGCTCGTATGATTATGCTGATTTCTGAGCCAAAAGGTCCATGAGGGCCAAAACTTGTAATTCTTAAATGTGCCGTTGAGCCATAGTTATGTATAGGAAGTTTGGCGATGGGAAAGAGCTGGCCACTATGGTAGTGACTGCTCATGTAAGCGTTCTAGATAGGAATTACATTACAGGTATCTTAAATGGTGTATCACTGAACACACTGTACATAGTAGTGTGCTCCTTTAAAAAAGTGAAATTCTTTTGAAATTTGTAGTTCCTTACTTGTGGAAGATTAAAATTTTTGACAATCCAAAAGGCATGTTTTACTGGGCACCAGAGATTTTCTCACAACAAGGTGTAGGCAGTACAGGGAAAATTCTTCATTTTTTTTTTTGTAATTGTAGATACTAGGTTTCATTGAAGAATTGTACTGTTGGAATGGTCCACCTAGGCCTTTGAGTTCACCTTCCTGGTCAGTGCAGGAATCCAGGTTATAGCTTCCCTGATAGATGTCCATCCAGTATTTTCTTGATGAATAGTAAGTAGAATATGAGTGTGTTAGACCTAAATTAATCTCTAAACTGAAGCAATTGTTGTTAGTCACAAAGCTGTGCCTGATCCATCGCAAGCCCATGGACAACATTCCTCCAGGCTCTCCTGTCCTCCATCGTCCCTCAGAGTCCACCCAAGCTCACACCCAACACCTTCAGCTAGATACACTGGGCTGCTAAAGCTAGCATACCAGCTTATACTGGGAATGATAATGGGAATGAGGGAAGTTCTTACTCCCCGGTCCCACCACCTACCATTCACACCTTCCTACCACCACAACCTTGAACAGATTGGAAACTATCACTTCTGCTTTTCCCTGCCCTTTTTGGCTCTTCTTCTCCTAACTATGCAGAGCAGCTTTCTACAATGCTGTTTAATTGCCAAAGCGGCACCTGTAAAAGAGGCTTCAAATAGTATGGAAGGCAGTGATGGTGTGGCAGGGGGAGACGGTAGGAAGTATCTGCAACATCCAGAATCTCTCACCTGATGTTGAGAGATTCAGCATAAACTCCCTGAAACATTGCATCTCATTTTGGAGAAGATGTGAAGCTTCTACTTCAGAGGTTGCAAAAGTGCATGGACAGGAAGCTTGATTTACTTGAGCTTCCTGTTCCTCATGTATTATGTAACTCCCAAACTCAGTAAGAGCAGTTGTAGGGAAATGTTAATATGAGGCATAAAAAAAATCATTCCATCTGTGGTTACAGGTTTGTAGAAATGCATGCAGCTCTGATGAAATGGAGACACAGCTATGTACGAGACAGATTTGTTCTCAACAAAATAACAATGTGTTACTATTCATTGTTTATACAATCAACAAGGGATAAGTCCCCAGGATTTCTTTTGCATGATGCCATGACACTTCCATGTACCATGCCAAGTTACCTGAAAAATAGCTCGTGGCTCTACTAGAAGCAGTTCTCACTGGAATGGCTACCTGGAAGGCAGAACTCACTTTATGCCCCTCGCTGATTCTTGTACAGCTCCCAGATGTTCTCATGCAAGAGGACCCTACTGCTTGTGCAGTGGCAATTTAGCATTTCTGGGGAGAAACATCAAATGAATGGAAACACTCATTTCTAGAAGAGGGGCAGAGCTTGCGTAACGGACATTAAGAGTTGACTCTGATGCAGAAATATTAATGCAGGCCTTCCACTCCCAAGCAGGACTAGTCCTACTACCATCCAACTTTTCTTCTGAACAGAGGACATTAATTCCTGAAGCCTCCCATTCATGAATGGGCCACGCTTGGTTTCAGCAACTCTCCAAGCAAATACGACTTAATGCAGCATGTAGTTTGGAAACCACTGAAGAACAATTGCCTGTTAAATTTTGTGCTGGTCCTACCTTGGTTGAGATATGTCAGGGTTTCTTCGTGAAGCTTCACAGCAGGAGATGTAGCTGCACACAGCACATATTGAAATGGAGGGAGTTTTGTGTCATTTTCAGGGGAAAGTTGAGGCTCTTCCTGTTTAAATATTGGTAGTGCGAGGACATCACTGAAACAAACATAACGCACACCAGATTAGCAATAGAACATGCTCTTGTGTTACAGAAATAATACTGCTACAGCAGGGATGAAAGAAGGATCTACAGGATCCATCTCTGATGAGTATTTTCACTGTGTAAAATTGAACTCCTGGGAATATTACTTATTACAAACATGTAGAGAGGACAAGGGCAGCTGACAGCCTAATCCAATCCAGAGAGAAAAGGCAGGGGATGTAGGCATATAGGGAACTTGCTTGTGCAGCACCTTCCCCACTGGGTAAGCTGTCGCCCAGGCGAAGTCCCCCGACTGAGCTGACAACCAGAGCAGTGTTCCTCAGCCACTGGTGCTGTCCCACAGGCTTTGCCAAGGCCCTGGGGAAGGCATGGCGTGGGCAAAGCCACTCGGCTGAGGAGCCTGAGGAGTGCTTGTCCAGGTCAGTTCAACCAGGTAGTTTCACCTGCCTCACATTCTGTTCCCAATAGCAGAAGGCATGATGCAGGTGAATGGGCTTTGCGCTTCACAGGCTTTCTCCAATGGTAGAACATCCCTGCATACTGAAGCTGATTCCAAGTAAATACTCTGGGAGGATCACCCTTCCAACACATCCACAAGGAACTGAACAAGGGCCATGCCCACTGAGAGTGAGGTCACCCTGGTCCCAACTACTTTGGATTGCACCCCCATGAGGCAGGGATTAAGAATGAATTCAGTAGATATGCATTCAGTTTCAGCAGATATAAATTCAAGAAATTTAATTTTAGCTGACGAGTGACCCATCTTGCAATATGAAAATAAGGATTTAGGTTGGATGAAAAGTCTGTTTCTTTCTTAACCCATTTCCAAGCACACAGTTCAATCTTTTCTGCTGTCCTTGGCAAGTAAGCATAAGGAACTTCAGCTTCCTCTGTGTCACAACGCTTCTCCTACCTAGCTTCTCCCAGCTAGAACTATGAAACTCCTGCTAATCTCCCCCAGGAATGACCACTTCCCAGAAACTATTTCCAGACTCAAAACAGCAGTTCCCAACTTAAAGCAGTCTATCTCACACACCAGAAATTGCACAAGGGATGAGGGGGTGGAGGGAGAAGGAGAGAGATTACAACAGCTCCAGTTTTCTGTGCAAGAGAGGAGTTTCATCTTCCTTGGATATTATTTGCTTTCTTGTACATCAATAGACATTCTAGATTCCTACTAGATAGCTGCACTCTGTGCTAACTACTGTAAAAGGACTTAGTACTTGCTTTGTATTGAGAACATGGTTTGCATACGTAGTTGGCAGGTAAAGACAGACAACAAAAAATGATCAGGAGAGAGAGATGCCAGCCATTTTAATTAGCCTCATAAAAGTGATGCTGAAACCAGCTTAGAGTAAATGCATCTGTCTTTTTGAGGCAGAAAATTAGCTTGCAGGGGGAATGGATTAGGGAAGACGCAAAAGACGACTAGCAGTGAGTGAGTCAGTACAGCAGCTTGGGTAGCGGGGGAAGTTACCGCCATGGTAAAGCTGCAAAAGCACATGCACAGGCATGGCAGAAGAAGAGAAAGCTCTTGCTACTTGCTACTCCAGGTGCAGGCAATGTCTATCCCTTCTCCCAAATGTTTTGGCCTATAATACCAGCCAGCACAGTCACTGATGAGAGACGGCAGGAACTGCAGCCCCAAGCATCTATTCCAGTGCTACCTAAGGGCAAGGAGTGCAGCGTGCAAAGTCCATGCAAAGCATATGTGAATCCCATGTGCTATGAATGATAACATGGAGCACATTATACACTCTGACAAGCTTTTTCTTCCTGTGACGCTTACACTGAAAAACTAATATATGTAGTTTGCATTGTCTGTAGACCCAGTAGCTTCCAAGACTCCAGAACAGTTGTAAGACAGGGAAAATAGCATGCATGTCATGAGTTAATTTTCGTAGAAATGTCTTACCATGTGGTAGAAAGATGAGCCACATTTGTGTAATAAGCATACCACATTAAGTGTCTAGAAGTAATTATATATTATTAAAACTAAGAACAGCACACCAGTAGTTATTTTGCATCTAAACCAATCCTTAGAGGAATCCCTCATTTCTTAACCGAATACAGACCAGACCAGAATATTTCTAAGATAAAGAACCAAGGGACAATTCCTACCTTAGTTTGCTCACCTGGGTTGATAGTCATTTTTAATCCTGAATGATCCAAGAAGTGCAGTACTAATGTGATCACCTTCCATACACATTGCTGTCCAATCACATGAAACGTGTTGGCCTTCCAGTTACTGAAAGGCAACTGCCAGCTGCATGAAATCAATGTTATGCCATGCACACCAATAAGCATTGAGGCAGTTTATAAACATGAACTGGAAATGAGGGCAAGAAGATGTTTGCCCTGTTTCTGTACAGCTTAATGATTCACTTGTTCCACTTTCTCATCACTAAACTGGGTGATAAGAGGAAGATTTCTGAGCCCATTAAAAGAAATATGCTTGTTAGATAATTAAAAATATTTTGACTACCATTGCATTTTATGGAGAAATCAAGCCAATGAGCACTTGAACTGTAGTGTTAAGTATGGACAGCAGACAGGTCTAATACTGTAAAAATATATTATTATATTACATTTATAACCCACCTTTCTTCCTCTTGCGAGGACTCAAGGAAGATTACAGGGTTCTCTTCCTCCCCATTTTATCTTCACAACAACAACCCTGTGAGGTAGGTTGAGTTGAGAGTCAGTGACTGACTCAAAGTCACCCAGTAGGCTCTATGGAACCAGAATGCAGACCTTCTAAGTCCCAGTTTAGCTTAACCACTGTACCATACTGGCTCTTCTAAGGGCACAGTCCTGTGCATATTTAAAACAGATGTAAGTCCTTCCATTCTCATCATTCCTCACCCAGTTCTGCCGGCTAGCAATTTCCAGGAGTTCTGGGACTTTATTTTTCTTGTCCAAAAATGCACAGGTTTTTTCCTTATTTTATATGATAAGACACTTGAGCAACCCAATGCCCAATCTACCTCCAGTGCAGTTGTACCCAATTTCTCCCCATACCACACACAATTTTGCAAAATTGGTACTCAGCCCAATGTGGAAGGGGAGGTGCTTAACCCTCATGTGGCTTTCTCTGCTCCCCAGTTGGGTGATTTTTGGAAGAGAAGAAAACACTTGAAAAGGAAAGGAACCTACCCACAGCAATCTCTCACAACAGACTACAGATCCAACAGCTGCTGCATTTTGCAAACAGAACAAAAGTCTGGGGAAAAGCGACATGAATCTCAGCATCATGAGTTCGGTCCAACAGGCTGCTCTTAAGTGATTTGAGGATAGCAAACTATTGTTCTGGCGTTTGCTTTGTAAGTTTCGTGTATAATAGAATTCCAACAGTGTAAACCCCTAAAAGCAACAATGGCTTTTACAACATCACTGGGGCTGTAAAAGGCTCAGTCACCACAGTGGCCTGGAGTGTATACTAGGAAGTCCTCAGTTCAAATTTCATTTTTAATCATTAACTCAAGTTGATGGCTTCAGGAACACCACCATTGTGCTCAGCCTGAGATTTGCAATATAGAGGTAGTACTGCCCAACTTACAAGTTTACTGAGAATTTCTGTTAAATGCTTTGAGCATCAGGAAAAGCACAAATCACATTTAATAGTATGACTACAATAATCTTAATATAAATGACTCATGAACAGACTGGAGAGCACAGAGTGTTACACACCTACAGATCCCCTCAGCCTTGTTAAGCCAAGACAGTTTAGAGTGGTTAACTAGAAAAGACACAGACAATTCATTTGGATGTTTTGGACTACAACACCCATCAGTCTGACCCAGTGTGACCAATAGTAAAGTAATATGGGGGCTGTGCACCAAAGGATCTGTAGGGTAGCTAAGCTACCTCTCTCTGGGCTAGAAGGTTGCCACAAGGATGGTGGCCAGATTGCAGGGAAAGTCGTATGAGGCGAGACTGAGGGAACTGGGTCTCTTCAGCCTGGAGAAGAAAAGAGTCCAAGGGGGTCTGTTGGCGACATACAGGTACATGAGGGGGTGTCACACGGAGGTGGGTAGAGACCTGTTTTCCCCTGTGGAGGAGGAGAGGACACGTTCCAATGGAGCAAAGCTCAGGGAACCCAGGTTCAATTTGGATGCCAGGAAGTACTTCCTGATAGTCAGGACCCTGAGGGTATGGAATGGGCTTCCACGGGAGATGGCGGAAGCCCCATTGGTGAGGGAGTTCAAGGACAGGCTGGACATGCATATGGTAGGCATGTCACGAGCAGAACCAGCTGGAGCCGGGGGTCAGACTAGATGACCCATGAGCCCCCTTCTGATTTGCTCTTAGAGCACCTGTCACCCCCGCTCTGTTCCCCTCAATGCTCGTACCATGTCCCCTGCAACACCCATGGGAGGACTAAGGAGTGAAGAGGCAGCACATAACCCCACTCATGGTTGGGCAACCAGAGCTCGACTTTCTCAAGCTGTCTAGCCACCCTGGGCTTACATGATTCTTTGAATGCAGCCTATGCCTTCTGGCTTTTCACCCTTGAATCTCCTGTCTTTGATCTTTAAAGTATGAATGGGCCATTTACATGTTACACAGAGTCATCACTCTGGGTGCTATAGAGTGTACATGACTGTTCTATGTAATAATGATGTGTAAGAAGGGATTCAAGTGTAAACCAAGATTAAGGCTAACTTTAAACCTCTGAGGTTTGTTTTACTTCTGGAAAGCTCTTCTTCAGCATCCAGCTTGAAGAAGAACACAGTGTAACTTACTAGTGTGTTAATAGCAATGTATGTCTTGAGTCTTTTGAGTTCTGTTCTAACTGTTGAACACTGCTCCTGAATCTTATCAGTACAGTAGACAGTTAACCAGGAAATGTTCACATGGACTCCAGTTTATTTACCATCCTTGTGTGCTCAAAGTGCCCCCAAGACAGTTAACAAGACTCAAATGAACACATGCATGCACAGTTTAATTTACACTTCTGCAAAATGCATAGCAAGACTACAGAATAAACCTG